GCTGGGGCGCAGGTGCATGTCAGGTGGTGGGTCCCTGCTGGGGCGCAGGTGCATGTCAGGAGGTGGGGCCCTGCCTGTATGCAGGTGCATGTCAGGTGGTGGGTCCCCGCTGGGGTGCAGGTGCATGTCAGGTGGTGGGTCCCTGCTGGGGTGCAGGTGCATGTCAGGTGGTGGGTCCCTGCTGGGGTGCAGGTGCATGTCAGGTGGTGGGTCCCCGCTGGGGCGCAGGTTCATGCCAGGTGGTGGGTCCCCGCTGGGGCACAGGTGCATGTCAGGTGGTGGGGCCCTGCTGGGGTGCAGGTGCATGTCAGGTGGTGGGGCCCCGCCTGTATGCAGGTGCATGTCAGGTGGTGGGTCCCCGCTGGGGCGCAGGTGCATGTCAGATGGTGGGTCCCCGCTGGGGCACAGGTGCATGTCCGGAGGCGGGCTCCGCTGGAGTGCAGGTGCATGTCTGGAGGAGGGCCCTGTTGGAGAACAGGTGCATGTCCGGAGGTGCCCCTCCCCCCCACTTGGGCACAGGTGCATGTCAGGCAGTGCCCCGCCCCCCTCCACTGGAGTGCAGGTGCATGTCCAGAGGGGGGCCCCGCTGAAGTGTAGGTGCATGTCCGGAGGGGGACTCTGCTGGAGTGCAGGTGCATGTCTGGAGCTGAGCTCCGGCTGGAGCGCAGGTGCCTTCAAAGGCAGGGGTGGTGGTAGGCGGGGTGGCGAGATGGCCGACGGTGGCTTTCAGCACTGGGGACGGGGTGCCACCACATCTTAGCGAGGTGACAGCAGCTGAGAGGCAGGTAAGTCTGGAGGCTGAGAGAGGACCATGGCCTCCCCCCAACCAAGTCGGGTGAGGGCGGGGACTCAGGCCTCGAGGAAGCAGGGCTGGGAGTTCACTGCGCACACAGGGGGAGCAGTGTGGACTCCACCTGGGATCGCTGGGTGGTGGCTGCGCTTCTCTGGGGTGGGGACAGAGGGACATTCCTGCTTGGCACTGAGAGCATGGTGGGTCTGGGTTGTGGTTGGCTTTGAAGGGCCCATGGGATTTTCAGGTGAAGATGTCTACTAAATACTGGAACGTACAACACTGCATCAACTTAGAGGAAGAAGGAGAGCTTGATTTGTCACTATTTCCTTTCTAATTTAATTGACATTTACCAGATACCATAGAACTATGAGAAATAAATTACATTTCACTGTGAGCATTTGATTTAAAATAAGAACAGTCATTTGGACATTGGCTTTATCTCGTTAAACTAACTACCTACATGCTGGTTTTTCTATATTTAAAGTATATACAAAGTTTTATTTACATGTTTTAGTATATATAAAGTACGTAACATAGTGCTTGGCACGTAGGGTATGTTTAATAAATTTCAGATAATTATGATTATTATTAAACTTTTCATTAAGAGTTCATGTTACTTTTAGGGGCGCCTGGGTGGCTCAGTCAGTTAAGTGTCCTGCTCAGGTGTTTTTTATTTTTTTAAGATTTTATTTATTTGAGAGGGAGAGAGAGAGAGAGCACGAGCTAGGGGAGGGGCATAGGAAGAAGCAGGCTGCCTGCAGAGCAGGAAGTCACCATACCTTACCTGCTACGTGCCCCTGAACATCTTTTAAATATACTTCTATGTATAGAATCAGTGGATTAAAGATTGTCATTTGATGGGGTGCCTGGGTGGCCCTGTTGGTGAAGCATCCAATGCTTGACATCAGCTCAGGTCTCCATCTCAAGGTTGTGAGTTCAAGCCCCGAGTTGGGCTCCACGCTGCACATAGAGACTACTTAAGAAATAAAAAAATAAAGATTGTTGTTTGAGCCCTCTTGAGCTTTGTCAGATTGCCTTCCAGGGATCCACTGCTATGGCTGGCCTCAGATCTGCGGGGACATGGGAGTTAGGGTTGGATGGGTGGGGTGTGGCCAGATTTTGAAGGGATTTAAATCTCAGGCTGAAACCTTTCAAACTGATTTTGTTTTATTGATGAGCTAAAGCTGGAATGAAATTGAATTGCATCATTTTAACCCCTTTCCAATGCAGGCATGATATGGGCCGAATGTAAAGAAATTTGGACGGAAGGCCCCAAGGAATACTTGTTTGAGTTGTGGAATATGCTTGATTTTGGTATGTTAGCGATCTTTGCGGCATCATTCATTGCAAGATTCATGGCATTTTGGCATGCTTCCAAAGCCCAGCGCATCATTGATGCAAATGATACTCTGAAGGACTTGACCAAAGTCACATTGGGAGACAATGTGAAATATTACAATTTGGGTGAGTCTGTAGTGCACAATGTAAGTTAATAAAAATGCAGAGTTTTCCGATAAAAGAGAGTCAGTCGGAGTTTGGTTACTACTCAGATCTCACAGAATTACTGGCTTCTTCAGGAGCATCTGTGTCTGAAGAAGCAGACTCCCTGCTCCTACCTGTGGTCTTTCTCCTGGCTGGAAACCTCTGAATCACAAGAATCCTGTCATTTTTCTCTCTTGGACCAGTTGGCAAACTGCCGTTGAGAATGCCTGTCGTATGTCTTAGATTGATTTTCTTTGTGTCTGCTGAAGACAGCACACGTTTGAGTGTCACTTCCATTTGAGGTACTAAACTATGTGACCACAAGGGACCGGTTGGAAACCCAGATGGCTCCTCGTAAGTCACACCACTGTTCCCCAACCAGGCTTTGAACTCGATGCGAAACAGAAAGCTGATCAAGTTCAGGGTGGACGAGCTAGTCTCTTAGTCAGTGGGCTCAGTACAGTCGCCCCCAGATGAGGCAGATGTGTCCTCGGGTCTCCAGACAGCGGTGGACAGGGTGGCCAGTATGAGATGGTCTGAGATGCCTTCATGGAGGAGCAGATGAGATTCTCAGGAAAAGGAGGACGGAGCTGAGCCCAGTATACTCAGTTATCCACCCTCCCAGGGTAGCAACCAGAGGAGGCTTTCCACCCCCCAGGAGGAAGGGGAATCAGGATGCAAACAGATTCAGTGGGTGCTTAGGGGAAGTCCCTCCTTGAAGAACCCTGAAGGGACGATAGATCCCCTTTACAATACTCATTTCAAATGCGCTGGTAAGAAATCCGTTAATGTTCAGCTGACATCTCTGTGGGTTTATTGGCTGTATCACATAGAGATATCTTTATTAGCATTTTTAAATATTTATTTTAATGGTTAACACTTTTTCAATACACAGAATTTTAAAAAGTCACAGCTATCTATCTATGCATTGTACTCATAGACTTACTATAAAACAGGAAACTGCTTTTACTAGTCTCTTGTATCCCTTCCTGATTTCACGTCCCAGCAAATAAGCAAATATAATCCTATTTTTCCTCTCTCTTACACATCGTTTTGCATTTTTCTTCATAATGGTTTCTTAATTGGGTTTTGATGACCTAATATAATAATGCCAGAAAAATGAAAAAATGAATACTTGCTACATTTTTATGGGAAAAATGGACATTTTTGAGTGACCAATAAGAATTACTTCTAGTACATTGAAATAACTGCCAGGATTTTGCAAACCCCAGATTACATTACAGTGGAATTATAAGTTTAAGGTTCAGTGATAAATGCTACCCTTTGTGTAGTGCTGAGCATGTTCCACACACCGAGTATATGTTCGCCTATTGAATTTTCAAGTAGATGAGAGAGGGAGGAGCGGTAGTATCTCATTTTTAAAGATGGGAAAATAAAAATAAGAGAAGTTAATCTGTACCAGTTTTTACACACACACACACACACACACACACACACACACACGAATTTTTGCAGATACCAAGTCCCTAGTTTGAACTCTTAACCATTATGCTATATTCTTATGGAAAATTACCAGCAAATCAGGAGGGTCATTTTCTTCTAATTCAGAAGCTTCAATATACTCAACCCTTAGACATTTGATTGCCAATGTAATTATATTTCTTTAGCAGAAAAGAAGTTGCCTAAGTAAACAACTTACAGAAACTCATGATAACGCTTGTCTTTCCTCTTTCCTAGCCAGGATCAAGTGGGACCCCTCTGATCCTCAAATCATATCTGAAGGTCTTTATGCAATTGCTGTAGTTCTGAGTTTCTCAAGAATAGCTTATATTTTACCAGCCAACGAAAGCTTTGGACCTCTGCAGATATCGCTTGGGAGAACAGTGAAGGACATCTTCAAGTTCATGGTCATATTCATCATGGTGTTCGTGGCCTTCATGATTGGGATGTTCAACCTCTACTCCTACTACATTGGTGCAAAACAAAATGAAGCTTTCACAACGTATGTGATTTCAGATGTTCTGATGGTGGAGATTGCAGATTAACTAAATGTTAGCTTAACAGGGTTCATAGGTATCCTTGGGGTGGATGATGTTTTGGCGAAGACTTCATCTCCAGTGAGAGAATTTTTAAATGAATTGGAAAAACTCGAAAACATAGGCACCTTCCTAATACTAAGTCGTTAATAACTAACATTTTTAGCGCCAGTTATTCTGGTAAAATACCTCACTCACATCATTTCATTATCTCTGTTTCACAAAAAGAAGAAACTGAAGCTCAGAAAAGTTAAATAATTTGCTGAATGTTGCATAGCCACTAGCCTATGGAAAAGCCAGGACCTCAGCCCTTGTCCCGGACTCTAGCCTCTGCACTCTTACAACGTATGCTTAGAATCGATTACTCAATGTTAGGTCGTCTGTGTTACAATGAGAAGCGCCAACTGAAATATGACCTATTATTAGCCATAGTCTTGTCAGTGCAGTTTATCAGAGAGATGACACCAGCTCGGTTAAGCCGGGGGACTTCGCTTTGGTCAGTAATTATGCATAAAGCATTGACATTCCCACCCAAGACTTGTCAGTGATTTTGGTAATAATGTCTTTGTTTATACTGTCATATTTTCCTTAAGACACACACTATTATTATCTATTTATTGGACACGAGTAGAAGTATGATAAGCAGGAAACCTGATAGGACTCTAACAAACAGTATTATTTTTATTTATTAATACATTTAACATTTCCATTGCCAAAGCTATGGATTGCTTAAATGTTGCTATCTGCGGTTATGAAGTTATGTTAATAGCATTTTTAAGTGCTTATTATGTGGCAGATATTGAGCTGAGTGCTTCATCCCTGCAACCACTGGGAAATAAAAATTATTGTACCCATAGTACAGAAAACAGGTTCAGAGAAGTAAAGAATTTTGTCATGAATATCTGGTGATTCACAAAGACACTAAATCAACTCACTTTTATTATGGGATTATTGTCATTTATATACTGTACTATCTCTTTATTTTTCCCCAGAGTGGAGGAGAGTTTTAAGACACTGTTCTGGGCTATCTTTGGACTTTCTGAAGTGAAGTCAGTGGTCATCAACTATAATCACAAATTCATTGAAAACATTGGTTATGTTCTTTATGGAGTCTATAATGTCACAATGGTCATTGTTTTGCTCAATATGCTAATTGCAATGATCAACAGTTCCTTCCAGGAAATTGAGGTATAATTTCTATACATTTGTATGCTCTGTGACTACATGTTTTAACTTATTCCAGGCATCAACTCAGCAATGTGGTGAAAGTACATTCTCCTTTTCCTCATTTGTTCTTTGCCTGTTTTATATACTTGTCTGGCCAGTAATCTAGAAAATATTAACTCTTTGCTTGGAGAAATGTTGTCCAACTCATTATTTAAAAAAAAAAACAACAGTAGAAATACTATGTCAGGTTGAATTTATATTTTATTTAAAAAAATTATTGCTTATAAATACCGCTAGTCTCCAAATCCTTTTCGTAGTGGTGTTCAAAATTGACCCTTTCCCAAATTTAGCATGATAGAATAAGTTTTTATTCCAGAAATTTTGGTCAAATTTATGATCTCCTGCAGAACAGATTAATCAAATTTATGATCTCCTGCAGAACAAAAGAGTGAATAATTTTTCATGGTGTTTTTTAGAATGTAGAAAAATACATTTATACCTTTCAGAGTATTTATAAACATATGCACATTTTGAGATCTTTCGTTCTGTAAGTCTGGTAAAATTTCAGATTTTGGAAAGAGTGAGTAGAACTTTAACATTTAAGAAAAATCTTGGACTGGTCTTTGGGGTCTGAGAGTGTTTGCAAGCTCTAGCTACGCAGTGTTGGAAGAATCTGGGTGATTCTGTTTATGCCTCTCTTTGCTCAACTGTCATGTGTGTCTGTATAGGATGATGCTGATGTGGAATGGAAATTTGCAAGGGCCAAACTTTGGTTTTCCTACTTTGAGGAGGGAAGAACTCTACCTGTTCCTTTCAACCTGGTGCCAAGTCCAAAGTCCCTGTTTTATCTCTTACTGAGACTTAAAAAGTGGATTTCTGAGATGTTCCAGGGCCATAAGAAAGGTTTCCAGGAGGATGCAGAGATGAACAAGGTAATTTGACTTGATAATTTAAAATTATATTTTTAAACATTATGATCATTAAAACCATGGTACTACATCCTTTTAAAAAGAAGTGGTCCATGATGACATGTCCAGTCATTCCCAAATCAGCATGGTCCTTTGGCTTGTTGTTTAGCAGGAGCTTACTGGAAATTTCCTACTTAAAAGAATGTAGGAAAAATTCATGAACTGTAACTATAATAAAGTATCATCTGTAGTGGGCGCCATGTTTGCTCTTGTGGCTTCAGGACCCCCCCCCCCCCCCCCCCTTCAGTTCACACAGCATGGTGAAGCATCAGTAGCCGGTTATGATGTGGGGGGACTTTGACAGACTCTTCTACATTGAAAACTTCAGAAATCAATTACTCGCATGTAATATGGGAGACTAGGCTTGGCATTAAGTAGTTCAAGAAAGAAAGATTGAAGGGTATTAACCAGAAACAGTTACCCCATGTGGCAGTGTGATTTCAAGAAGCCATAAAAGAAAGACATTCAGCGTGTAGATGAGCAGGTAGGATGTTCAGAAGTGTTTCAGGCACAAGTGGGATGTTGTGCAGAAGTGTGTATGGGGTCAGGGCTGTCCTCTACACCCAGGGGGAACATTGAGATAGATTCATTCAGAGGAGAAGGGCCAGCGTGGGGACAGGTGTGGATAAGGTGTTATATGATGGGGAATGGAAGGATCTGGCTGTTACATCCAAAGAAGGAGGATTGAAGGGGAACAAGGTAAATATCTTTAGAACTCCCAATTTTGACTAGGGTGTATACTTGGGTTTTTTTTTTTTGGTTTTGTTTTGTTTTGTTTGTCTCTTCAAAAACAGGAAGAGAGGAAATGGGCAAAAGTTGCAAATAGTTGTTTTAGTTCTATGTAAAAACAAACTTGTCATAACAAGATCTATCCAACAGAGGGGGCTGTCTTGTGAACTCTAGTGAGTTCCCCATCATTGCAAGCAATCAATAAATGCTGGATGACCAATATTAGGAGTTTTTAGAAGATCTTCCTACAGCGAGTGGGCAGTTGAGCCAAATGATTGTAAAAGTTTCTTGCAATTCTAAGATTCTATCACTGAGAGAAAAGAGAAACATTCTAATTTCTGCTCTGTTTTGCCACTCACCACTTGGGGTTCTCAAGTAAATAATAAGCTCTCTGAGCTTCAGTTTCTCCAAGTGTACTATGGGAATTTATATCTACATCATAAAAAAAATCAAATAAATATGTAAAAGGGCTTTGAGAATTATAAAGCCCTCTTTAAATGTGGTTATTATTATACTATTTGTGTGAAATTTTTGGGAAAATACACCATTTTAATTACCCTTTTAATTTTCATTGTCTAACTTCTAGAACTCAGTGAGTTGATGGCAGGAATTTCTCTCACTTTACTTTTAAGTGTGACGTTTACAGGTCTAATTAGAACTGCAACCTGAGGGGCGCTGGGGGCCTCAGTCGTCTGAACATCTGACTCTAGGTTTCGGCTCAGGTCATGATCTCAGGGTCATGAGATTGAGTCCTGGGTCAGGCTCTGCACTCAATGGGGAGTCTGCTTGAGATTCTTTCCCTCTCCCTCTCCCTCCACACCCATAAATATATAAATCTTAAAAAAAAACAAAACTGCAACTGAGGGAACTTAGTGTCCAGATGAAGTTTCTAAGTGCTTACCAATGGGAAGAATCCAGTAAGAACATGTTTCTCTTCTTGAACCTTGCTATAGAATTAGACCCAGGTGGCTTTTAAAATATGGAAAAAAGAATGAAATTGTTTTTGCAATTCTAAATGTAGAATTTGCAGTTGTATTCATTTTACTGTCTATTTTTAGTTTTATTATTTGTTTCCTATCTATTTTTAAAAGAGAAATGAAGAAAAGAAATTAGGAATTTTGGGGAGTCACGAAGACCTTTCAAAATTACCACTTGACAAAAAACAGGTGAGATCACATTTGAAAATACGAAGTCATGCATATGACCAGGCTTATGTTTTCAGAGAAAAGGACAAATGTTCAGAAGCAATTTCAAGAAACAGGTAATAGACTCACAAGAGAAGTTAACGATTTTAATATTGCCTCAAAGAGTCTGTTATTGAGAGGTGAAAATAAGCCGTGTATATATTTAAGAATTGCATATATATTTAAGGCAGATATTAGACATATATTTCTGGGTACTTATGGGTAATGAAATACAGGAAGGAAGAATTAAAAGGGTAGAGGAGCTCACTGGGGACTGAGGGGGCAGATGACTGGGGTCCCCAAGGCAGTGCAGGTGTCCAGTACGCACCTGTAGCAGCTGGTTGGGGAGATCAGTGCCCACTGTAGTCAGTGCGGCTCATAAGGAGCAGTGGGCCCTGCAGGTGCCTTAGCTCCTACTGTGGTGGCAGCGTTCCCAACCATGAGGACGTTTGCTTCCTCCTGGTGTGCACAGTGGGGGCATGATACAGGCTGTCGCCAAGGGGCATTGTCGATGAAATCTTTAGGGGAAGGGCGGGGTGTCCAGTAGGACTTGCGTTCAGCTGCACATAATAAAAGCATCGCGGAGGTTTTTTTTTTTTTTTAAGATTTTACTTATTAGAGAGAGAATGAGAGACAGAGAGCACGAGAGGGAAGAGGGCCAGAGGGAGAAGCAGACCCCCCGCCGAGCGGGGAGCCCGATGCGGGACTCAATCCCGGGACTCCAGGACCACGATCCGAGCCGAAGGCAGTCGCCCAACCAACTGAGCCACCCAGGCACCCCAAGCATCGCGGAGGTTTAAGCGAGACAGCTGTGTGTCCCTCTCTCGTTGAACTCCTCAGACTTAGGCCCTGCAGGACTGTTGTCAGGGTGGAGGCTCCGTGATTCTCCGGGGTTTGTTGTAGTCAGACGCAGATGACAGCTTTGTGTCTCCCATCACAGCCGCTTGTCAGACCGGACGAGGAGTCCAGGTCAGAGGCCATTTTGCTTTGTTTTCAAGCTAAGCCCGTTACCTCCCCCAACAAAACCAGAATGCTAGGAAGTATTGATACGGTATCGATCTAAGTACTGGGAAGATTGGGATGTCATCTCACCTCCGGCCCCACAGCAGTAATTCAGTGTGCTTCCCCGAGCCTTACTTTCCTCATCTGTAAAGTAGGGAGGGCCAAGTTGTGAACCCATCACACGGGATTGTTGGGAGGTTTCGGTGATGCTTTGTGAACGACGGACATACTTGTGCCGAACGGATGATGCATGCATGAGAACAAATCATTGCAAAATATGAGAAAAATTCAAGGGAATCAAAATTTCTGTTTTCCTTTATGATAGAAACTATAGTATCTCAGAAATCAAATAACGCTATTTTCTTTGTAATTTCTCCAAAAATGTAGAAAATTAAAATTTATTCTAATCGTCTGAAAAATGCATTTTATATCCTTTGGTAAAAAGATTTATTTATTTATTTTAGAGAGAAAGAGAGAGCATGTGCATGTGGGTGGGGGGCAGTGGGGTGTGCCAGGAAAGAGAATCCAAGCAGATCCCGTGCTGAGCATGGAGCCCGACGTGGGGCTCCATCCCACAACCCCAAGATCACAACCTGAGCCAAAACCAAGAGTCAGATGCCCAACCAACTGAGCCACCCAGGCGCCCTGCATTTTATATCTTTTAAAGAGGGTTGGATCACCTGACACTTTCCCCCTATTTTAATCCTGGATTAAAATAAAGTCTCTAAGAGCAATATTGAGCCTGTGGTATCTGACCCCAGTTGTGAATCAATGAAATGTCAATTCTAATGTCAGTTGAACCATCCTGAGACCCTTTCGTGTGTTTTTTTGTTGTGCCATTGTGGAGATGTGCTGCTCATATCTTCTTTCAAGGAATGTGATCAGCGGACAGCCTCTAGTGCCTTTGGGGTCCCCCAGCTTTCCCACGGTAGCCACACTCTAGGTCCCAGGCATTTCCCGCAGGACCCGTCCTGGGGCCGTCTTTGTGCTCAGCTCCCTGTTGGCTTGGCTGACTTTCTGAGTCTTCTTGCCCTCTGCGCTTTCACAGGTGAGCCAAGCCTCAGGTTCTGGAAGCTTTCTCTGCCTCCCCTGCTCCTACTCCCTGTTGTCTCTCAGAGGCATGATTCTGGATACAGCTCATACTTCTAACTGGTCTTGGCATTTGATTCCCAGAGGACCAAAGTAACACAACTATCTACTTTACTTTCCCTGACCGTGTAAGCTTGTGATGAACAAAACTTGGGGCACATACCTTGCTTTTGCTTGATACATTAACTGCATTCCTGGGAGAATGCTTTTTAAAGCAACCATTTATATTTCTAATTGATTTTGCCTGTTGTTACTGAGAGGGACTCCCATTGGGACGTGCTTGGCCCTAATAGGTACTAAGAAAAACCCTCATAGTTCATTCTTCCTTACCCAGTGTGCGCGGCTTTGCTTTCTTTTCCATAAGGTCGGCGTCTGAAACAGTCAGGTTTCCATTTCACTTGGATCTTCTCTCTGACCCCGTGAGGGTTACCGAGGTCAGGCTCATGAGTACTGTCTTCACAGCTCTGCAGACCCGCCGCGGAAATCAGGAGGATGAGCCACGTAATAATGCTGTTACCTTGGATGATGCCCTGCAGCTCTGAAGGTCACTGAGTTGGGTGACTGCTAGCATTAGCTTTTCAGACTCAGTCTGAAAGGGTGGTGTAGTTAAAGTCAGTTCCGCCGTCCTGCATGCCCTGCGTAAACTGAAAGTGCCAAATTACTTCTTGGAGAACGGCTCTCTGCAAGCTCCAGGAAAGATCACGCCCAACTGGTCGGTTTGAGAGCGGCCTGCGCGCCCGACACGGTAGACCGATGAGGAGCACACACGTTATTGCTGCATTTTCTGTCTACTCGGCTCTGGATTGAGTGAGATGTGGAGGTCATGTTTATTAGTTATATATCTGGGAACTGATTAGGTCAGAGGCTGTCTAATCAATCATCGCTGCCCCAGGGCGGCGTCTCCACTTGATTTTGCACAAAGTCCCAATCCCCTTCTCCGGGTATATTGAGTTAAAATCTGTGGCGGTGGGCTTGGCAGTGTGTATTCTAATAAGGAGTTCGCATATTCTAACGCTGTCTGGGGTGGGGTCACGGAACGCTCCATTCCCTGAATGACTGTCGTGGACACGTCCGTACACAGCAATATTCAGCATGAAGCAGGCCTGAGTCCACATCGTGGATAGGAGATATTCACCCTTCCCTACAACCGTGATGGCTGTGAGCCTTGCCGAGCACTGGCTGTGTACCAGCTCTGTGTTCTACACACCTTATCTGTTTAGTTACCGCGAGGAGGGAGGGAAAATTATTTCCCCTGTTTTATGCATCAGCAGCCTGAGGATATAGGGCTGAAGTTCCTGGCGCAGAGTCGCATTTCAGACAAATGCCGGAGCCAGAATTCGGATCTACATCTACTGGATTCTGGAGCAGGAGCTCCGGAAGCACCGTCGCACGTGCGCGCTGTCTCCTGTCTGCGTCCCTGCCGACGGCACAGGGTGTCTGCACAGTTGGAGCTCCTCGCCCTGTTCCCGTCCTCAGGCTAAATGCTCGCATCAAGCTAACTCCTGGGAAAGGGGCGAAAGAAAGTATGAAGAAGGCAGGAACTAGGTATAAATGCAGAGAATAGGCAGCAGCTCCTTCGGTAGCTGTAGACGCCGCGTCCTGCCCCCAGGGTTCATGCAGCTTCCCGGCACCGCGAGGGAGTTCCTCCCCATGTACGATTTTTTTCCTAGAATCGTCTGACACGTATTTATTAAATGCCTACGTGTTAGATAGATACCTATGTGTTAAATATCTATGTGTTAGACACTGATTAGAATTTTTTGTTATATTGGCATCCAATTTCATATTTCAGGTTTAGAGAAGAGCTAGTCACATAAAAACGATCCGAATGAATTTGTAACTGCTTAGTCATAGACCACTGAACGGCACCGTGGTTCCCAGCCAGGGGTGGTCTGGATCCCCCACTACCAGCGCCTCAGGATGCATTTGTGATTCCTGGGGACACTGTGGCTGTCGCAACCAGAGAGGGGAGCTGTTACAGGCATCTAGTGGGTAGAGGCTGGAGATGCTGCTAAACATTCTACGAGGCACAGGAAGCCTCCACAATGAAGAATCATCCAGCCCAGAGTGTCAGAACTGTTGCAGTTGAGAAACTCTGGACTCTGCCCGTGGAGTGCATGCCCTGCTGGGGGGGTGGAGGCGGGATGCTGTGTGTCGCGCCGAAACCGTATGAACGCACGGTAGCTGTGGTCATGGACACCTTGACATCTACACTCTGGAAAATCTACAAGCATACACATTCTCCAGTGAACAGAATACCACTTTCTGGCTTTGCCACCACTCTTACCTCTTCCAAGCCTTCCAGGGTAGGGCACCAGCCTCCTGCCCTAAATTCATTCTTCATGTTTCAGATGTATCTTTACCTTGTTGCTGAGCTGCCACCCCCTGGTTTATGAACCCGGATTGTATTTGTCTTGTAGAGCAAGGGGTCTAGAAAGCGAGTGGACCCGTCAGGGACCCAGAAGCTCTTCTTGCTTTCACCATCCACTGCTTTTTCAGCACTTGCCCTCTGTCGGGTGGTGCTTGCTCTGGGGACACTGGGATGAGGTAAACAAAATCCCTCCTTCCTTAGAGCCTAGCAGGGTGTAGACAAGCCAGTGTATAAAGTAATTGTCAGTTGTGAAACACTGTAAAGGATACAGAAGTCGTAGCTTGCTCAAGATCTCTTTTTCATGGGGTGGGCAGGAAAAGGCTCTCTGAGGAGCTTATGTTTGAAGCTAAAACCCAAAGAGTGAGGCAGAGCAAATCAGCCAGCCAGGCAAAGGGTGTTTCAGGAACTGGGAACAGCAACCACAAAGGCCTTAAATTAGAAAAGAGTAAATGAACGAGGGCCTCGGTGATGTTAATACACTTTTAAGCAACCCCCCACACCAAAAAAAAGATGATCTCTATAGGCATGCAGTGTTGTGAGCTGCCTTAATTGGGGATGGTTGGCATATTGAGTTTTAAGGTCCACACATACATCTTCAAAAAAATCCCAAAGAAACATAATTTTTCACTTTCCTGTTTCCATGAACACCTTTTGGATGTACTAATGGCCTCCAACGAAAGAAGAAATGATTTGCAATCATGAAGCTGTGCATTCATGAATAGGTGGTAAATAAATCAGAGGCATGATGCACCAAGAGTCCCCCTGTCTGGATCCTTTTCCTCTAGGAACCTGTCCTCACCCTCCATGCTTTATCATAACCAGTGGGGGATGAAACTGAGCTTGAATCTACTCATCCCATTTCATGATGATGCCCTTATGGCATAAATCACAGTGAAAACCAGGAAGAACTGTATCATCATAAAAATAAGGGAATAACTACATTTTTAAAAATAAATATTAAAAATTACATTACTAAAAATATAGTTGAAGTTTGCGTTCATTTCATGAATTCATAGATCAGTAGGACTTGAAGGAGCACAGGTGTCCCCTGACTCCCTTTCTTGTCGGATCGAGTGCAGAAAGTTCCGGCGTGTCTTTCTGCCACTCCCCAGCAGCCTGCGACAGAGCCAGAGTTCAGCCTTCAGCTTTATGTCAGGAGCTCGTTCAGAGAACCCACGCTGCCTCTCTTTGCTTAATTTGGCCAATGATATAATTATATCTTCATGTTTTTTGAAGTGAATATAAAGTAAAAGAATATGGATATTTTGCTGACACTTTTAGAGAGGTCGAAAGGAAAGCAAAAACAGCTACGGGGAAAGGCGTGCTGTCTACAGAATATTTTCAGAATTGCATATTGCACTTTATGGGCCTTACCAGCCTTACTATATGTTTTCCTATTATTATAACTTGGCTAGATCATAACTGTTTTGTTCTCCATTGAATACCCAGACCCTATAGCACAGCATCTACCTATAAACACTCAGTCAGTGTGTACCTGTTCAGTGGGTGAATGTGTGCCGAGCTGCTTTATTTCAGCATGTGGCCATTTAAAACATCAAAGCATTGAAGTTAAGGATTTAATTCTCAATGAGCTTTACTTAGAGCAACTTAGATGTCATTGGGAAATATAAACCATGCCTGTCTTTGAAGATGGTCTTGGAGTTTCTTGTGCTCTGCAAAATAGTTGTGCAGCTGAAAACAAGCAAAAAAAAAAAAAAAAAATGGAGCTGCTGTGTTTTGCTCAGGTTCTCCTACTTATTTCTGTTTAAAACCAGTTTTTCTTTTTACAAAATGCCATAGTTTCTTTAATCATTCTTTTAGCATTGTAATATGGTCCTTTACAACCTTTATTACAGATTGCTTTAGATCTTTGTTAATTGCCTGTTCGAGCAAATAGATTTTTTGAAAAGTACTGCCCAAATGTGATACTATGCAGATGCTGAAATTCAAATACAGTCATTAGTTATTTCTTGGCACCTGAACAAAGTCTTACCCTGGTGTTACCCCGGGACCCCCATCACACCCTACTGCACGTGTGGATGCTGTGGTCATTTATGCTGGCCTGATACTCCCTTATCAATGGACTTCTGAGATCACCACCATTACTTTCTGAGCTTGTTTGCCTCTCCCTCTATCAGAGACGTACCTGTGGTAAGGGTAAAGTGTCATTCTCATGGCAACATGATTGATCGTCATGAAGTCGAGGAGGCTCCTCAGACAGCCTTGATTAGCCATCAAGAGGCTGAGCACATTCAGGCACCTGTGATTTATCTTGGAAGACAGACTGTCAAGCAAATTAAATGAAAATGTACATATGTAATGAATAAATTCCTATATGTAACTAATAAATATCATCACATTATTTAAAAGAAAAAGAAGAATTTCTAATTCTTTTCAAATTACAGCTTGGGCATAGTAAACAATCAAGTGTGAGGAGCTCAGAAGATTTCCAGTTAAACAGTTTCAATAATCCTCCCAGACAATATCAGGTAAGCATGATATTTTTCTTGAAGAACTAAGGCTAGTTATTTGTAATATTTAAAATCCCAAACTATGTGATTCTTTAAATGAAAATAACCTATTATGTTGTTTTTCTCAATATCAAAATAATGCATGAATTCACATATATGCTAAGTACTGGAGATACGTAAGTAAATAAAATAGATGAAGTCTTGGCATCTCAGAGCTTAGAGTCTGCATGTTCATTGTAAAGAGTCTATTCTCACGAAAAAACATACAGAAGAGAGTAAAATGTACCTCAGACCCTAGCACTGAGATTTAAGGACTACTTACTTTCTGCCAGGTGATTTATATGTATATGTATAATTTTACATATAATTCAATATTATTTACATGTATATGTAATATTATATAAATGAGAATAAATAACAGTTTTTTATGTCACAAAACATATATTCGTATTAATTTTAATGGATATGTAGTATTCCTTTGTACAAATATATGATAATTTATTAAAATAATTTCCTATTGATGGACGTTGAAGGGTTTTTTCTACTATTGTAAGTAGCACGAATGGGGCGCCTGGGGGGCTCAGTCGTTACGCGTCTGCCTTCGGCTCAGGTCATGATCTCGGGGTCCTGGGACCGAGCCCCGCCTCGGGCTCCCCGCTCCGCAGGGGACCTGCTTCTCCCTCTCTCTCTGCCGCCCCCCTCCCTGGCTTGTGCTCTCTCATTTGCGCTCTCTTTGTCTCAAAGAAATGAATAAAATCTTTTAAAAAAATAAGTAGTACTACCATCAGCATACTTGTCCATGCCCCCAGTTACATCCTTAGAATAAGTTCTTGAAAGTGATATTTTCCTGTCCACCATTTAATTTGGGGTTTAGAGAGTCATATTTGGCTTAACCGTGGATCCACCCAGGACTTCCGGCCCACGGTGCTGAGCCTGCTACTCTTCATGAAACGTGTAGAGTGAACGCAACATTCTCACCGGAGAAACTTTGTTACACTGAAACTAGCCATTCCTGAATTACTAGCAAATATAAAACCAAAACTGATTACATTTCTTGGTAAGGGAGGTCAAAGAACGTAAATGAGTGTGTATTTGCTTAATTTCCAGTTTCCACATGCGGTATTATCCACACCTTTAACCTCCCCAACTGAAAGGCTGTGTTTTTCTCTAATAGTCTGCAAATAAAGTACAAGCAATGAACATCAAGGAGCAGATGTTTGCTCTAAAACTATTCTTTTCTCAGGAATTAATCTCTGAGTCATTAGCTCCAGTAGTGCAAAAATTGCTTTAATAATCTGGTGATAGTATGCATTCCCTGCCAGATAAATCATCTGAATCTTTGTTAGGGATCACTTCTGAAGTCCTGAGGAAGGAAAGACTCACTTATTACAAATGAGAGATTTGTCATAAACATAAAACTGAGATGGATTTCTCCTTTCTTGGTCTAGAAAATTATGAAGAGGCTCATTAAAAGATATGTACTACAAGCCCAGGTAGATAGAGAGAGTGACGAAGTGAATGAAGGTGAGTTGAACGGGGATGGGTGAGGGTGTGGGGCCTGAGGCCGAGCTGCAGGGAAGCTGGAGGGAATGGGGTGGGAGGGCGACCCTCCAGGGGAGAAGAGGACAAGGTCCCCCCACTGTCAGTGTGAAGAGTGTAGGGAAATGGGCTCATTCTCCACAGCCAGGGCAGATGGCACTTGCTACACAAATAACCCTTGCTTCTGGGGGGCAGCTGTGGGGGGAGGAGGAAGGGGTTGGGAGGAGCAGAAGGCTGTTGCCCCCAGCTCCTACAAACATTTGCCACTAGTGCCTCCTTTTTACTTGAGGACATTCGTTACAATTCTTTCTCTATAATCTTTTCATTCACCAAAAGCTTAGCTGAGGAAATAGAAACCTGCCCCATTAGGAAGTTTCCTTTGGAGGGATTCAAACGACAGATGTGTGTGGAATTAGGACTGATTTCATTCTGTTCCAGCATCCCTAGTTTCTCTGCATCTGTATTTACAGTTACTCCTTATCATTCTCGTTTTTCAAAGGGGAACTGAAGGAAATTAAACAGGACATCTCAAGCCTCCGCTATGAACTCCTTGAAGAAAAAACTCAGAATTCAGAAGACCTAGCAGAACTTATTAGAAAACTTGAGGAGAAATTATCAATGGAACCAAATCAAGAGGAAAGCAATAGATAATGCAAAGACTTCCTTTAAAAATCATATTTATTTGTCCACTTGAAGCCATATTATCTTCCAATTTATTTTTTTAAGTGACAGTGTGACCACCTTTTAAACAAGAAAATGTCCAAAGATAACTTGGATCATCCCATCATCCGAAACCCTAATATTTAATATTTTTGGTCATTGAATTTCATTGTTCAGGCTAAAGTTTTCAGATTATGATGGGAATTGTGCCTGGTTGTTTGACACTTGTTTTTATAACTGCCTTCTTGGGTATAACTATTGTGATGATGTGATTCTGTGTCGTGTCTGCTTGGGGACACTCTCTGTGCAGCATTTCTCTTGAAGGTCACTTCAGGTAACTTCTTGCCTGCTTTATGGGTCCCCTGATGGTGACTTCCAGCCCTGAAACCTAGGGAAAGATGATCTATGGCTATTTGGAGAATGCTGTTTAATCATCTACTCTGCTTGGCCCCCACAGACTATGATTGGTAATATCTGTGCAAAATGCGATTAAATCTTTCCTGAACTTTCTGACTCATCTCACTGAAAATGTTACACTTAACAGTGAAAAAGTGCTTCCTCTACTGAGCTCTGGAAACATGGTTTAGTTTGTGTGCATGCGCGTGTGTGTGTGCATGTGTGTTTCTGCACTCACACATGAGTGCGTATGAGATGCTTGTCCTGTTTGCTTTTGCAGCCAGTACAGACTCTCGAAACCTCTTATGGTTTCTTTTTTTTTTTTACTGTGACTTAAAGATTATTGGAGAACCCTTTATTGGAGAAGTATCAAAGTCACAAATGATTGCGGTGATTTGGTCCAATGATAGCATAGTTTTGTGCCATTTCTGAGGGCATTTACAGGGGAAGTCCCACATTTGGCGTCGAGTATAAAGAAAAAGAAGTGTGGAGGGAACTTGCAAATACTTACCTGTCACTCTCAGTATGTTCTCCCCTCCTGTCAAAATATATCAAACAGGAATCTGCATTTGTACACATTTGCGGGTGTTCTTACTGATGATTTGAGGCAATATCTAAAACAACACAGAGAGAAATGAACGTTCATCTGTTCGACCTGACAAACTGCCAACATTTAAATGACGCTGGGCATTAACGGGAAGTGTTGCTTTAAACTCAATAAAGGGAGGCTTCAAATACAAATTTTTAACTTCATTCTAGGGATAAAATGGTCACAAAAGTCTAGTTAACCCCAACTTTGGCTAAATTTAAATCAAAGAAGCTTTATGTAATCAGATCAGAAAATACATCTGAGATTTTATATTCAGTGATTTTGTATTTGTGGGTATTGTTTATTGAGAAGTTACTTGTTAATACAGTAAAGGTGTGCTTTCAAATGTTTTGTGATAATATTTGAATCAGAAGTTGTAAAAACCAACCTCCTACCAAAGGCTCTGTCAGCACATTAAAATAACCCAACATCCACAAAGTTTGTGTAGCGTGCCGAGCAAGAGGTTGCCCTCCCCGTGCCAAGGGGCGCTCTGGCCGCGAATGGGCTCGACTCCAGAGAATCAAGAAAACATACTCAGATTCCCCGGTGTCTTTAGGTCGGGCTGGCCTGACGAGATACAGGTTTTAGGAAGTGCAACAGGCATGATTCTGGCTCTCCCAGTAAAAACACCACCATCAGGTGCTGTCTCGTGACTCTGCAAAATTAATATGTCCTCAAGTCAGTGGATTCTCCTCAAAGTGCCGCTGAGTTGGCCCCTTTTCTAATTTCTTTTCGATTTGGACATGAAAAGAGAAACCAACCATTATGTTAAGAAAGGCTTTAAAAATTGCAACAAGAGCTTAATTAAAGGCATATTGTCTGTCAAAGATGGTTCTGAGCATGACTACCCTTCGTGAGTCTCAAGGCCGTTGGCTGTAAATCCTGTATTCCTGTTGCAGTCAGCCTAACCTTTAAAAATAAAGTGATTCCTCAGTTGAAATGTATTGATCCGACTTGTTCTGTTTGTCGAATTTCTCTTCTCAGATTTGGTGCTTTCTGGAGGCTGGGGCTCCATAAGGAGGGCAGCCCAGTGATGTCTGTGACCACTTGGGTCCTCCGTGAGGGCCAAGGCCACAGTCACGCCTCCTGGCAAACCTGCTCCCACTGAACAAAACCAAGTCCCTGTGTTTGTACGTCCAGGCCTAGTTTTACTCTCTGCCATGCTCCTTACGCCAAAGCTGAGAAATAACCCAAATTCAGTATGATTCTACTAGGCATAGCCAATGAATTACCAGAACCTACTACTGTCTGCTTAAAACTTTCCCAGGGACTGAGAAGAATGAAAAATGAATGTCTGACCTCAAGGAGCTTGCAACCAAATAAAGAAACGGGACTTAACACAACTGTTGTGTTGCTCAGTGTTCACTGAGCCTCTACCGTGTGCCAGGCACATGATAGGTGCTTTCCATGAAGAACTGAATTCAAGCTTACTCTATGCTTATAACAACTGTTTGAGGTAAACACTGTTAAGACTCTGATTTTAGAAATGAGAAAATTGGAGCCTCTATTCTTTTAAATTTAAATCCAATTAAGTAACATATCATGTATTATTGGTTTCAGAGGTAGAGGTCAGTGATTCATCAGTTGCGTATCACGCCCAGTGCTCATCACATCACGTGCCCTCCTTAATGCCCATAAGCCGGCTACCCCATCCCCCCACCCCCCCTCCCTTCTGTAACCCTCAGTTTGTTTCCCGGGGTCCAGAGTCTCTCATGGTTTGTCTCCCTCTCTGATTTCTTCCCGTTCAGTTTTCCCTCCCTTCCCCTGTGGTCCTCCATGCTATTCCTTATGTTCTACATATGAGTGAAACCATATGATAATTGTCTTTCTCTGACTGACTTATTTCACTCGCATAATCCCCTCCAGTACCATCCACGTTGATGCAAATGGTAAGTGTTCATCCTTTCTGATGGCTGAGTACTCTTCCCTTGTATATATGAACCACATCTTCTTTATCCATTCGTCTGTCGAAGGACATCTTGGCTCCTTCCATAAAAACTGGAGCCTTTAGAAGCTAAGTAACTTGCGCAGAGAGGGTCAGAGCCAGGAACAGAACCCAGGCCTGCCTCACAACAGATGCTTCACACTTCCCTGTAGTCTCCACAGACGATGTTGGAGTACGGTTGTCTTGTAAAGCTCATATTTCAATCTCTAGGTGCAGAAAAGTGGGCTGCACCTGAAAACCCTACATTCCATAACCTGCCTGATGCAGAGACAGACAGCAGTGTTACTCATGGAGGCTGTGGGTCCAGAGGAGGTCTGGCTTTGAGAGGATTGCATATTAAAAAAAACCAAGAACAACAGATGGGGATGTGTATGAAGGGTGGAGGCAGTGTGAGCAAGGCCAAGAGCTGGGCGTGAATATGGGACACGAAGTCCTTCAGAAGGAAACGGTAAATTCGGTGGCTGTGACTTGGTGAGAACAGGTTTGGCAGTCCATCGTACCCATCTGGGACTGTTCCAGGATGGAAACTGACCATAGTTCTTATCACCATGCGAATAGTAAAATCTAACCAAACATTTAAAATGGAAAGACTGCATGGTAGTATTTGTCAACCAGACAGACCAACCAACCAACCGACCAACAGAATCACTGTCTGGACCGATTGCCAGTTTCAGGCTGAGGTTGGGAAACTGAAGGACTCCATGAAAACCTGCTCTTTGCTCCTTTTCCTGCTTCTATTCTTGCAAGGACCTGCACCCCCACTTGACCCAGGCCTCAGAAGGCTAATAGTGCACGTCATCCTTGTAAGGGACAAGGAGTTAATGATTCTCTAGGACAGATACTATCTAAGGAAGGACCAGGTGAGAATGACTGGCGGAAGCTATCATACACGTATTCCAGTCCACCAGAGCCAGATATCCAGAGCGAGACATCTCAACGCCAAGACCACGGCTTCAGGGAATAAATGACTTAGGATGGACACCTGGGCTCTTGTCTTTGTTCTGACCAGTTTGTGGATGCCTGACAGGACAGGTCCACCAGACCACAATCCTCAGTAAAAACCCCAGACCCTGAGCAAAGACGAGACTCTCTCCTTTCCTTTCTGAGTCTCCCGGATGCTCTCTGTACCTGCCCTCTCTCTATACCTTCACTAAACTCTGCACTCACCTCCTGCTGGCTCACGCATGATTTCTATCCCACACACAGCCAGGGACCCTCTTGACTGGTCCTGCAGGACACCTCTGTGTCCCTGGACCCAGTCTGCCAGCATCAAGGCCAAGGAGGAGCTGTTTCTCCGAGTGCCACAGTTAAGTGTGAAGTGCAAGTGCATCTGTTCTGATTCTAACAAGCAGATAGGACCTCCTTCTTCACTCTGAAATTCTCCTTCGTCATCGTCGTGTGCCAGGTGGGGTTTATGAAAGTCACACCTGCCGTCCCCGCAGCTTGACTGATGGTGCTGGAGGTGGGATCCTATACGACTGAGTCTCTGCCCTTTGATGGAGAGTGAGCACCATTGAGTCACTGGAGAAGCAGAAAAGATTATGAATTCCCAGCCCAGACCTCTGCGTTGTTCTCCCGAAACCCATCTAATGAGTTTCTACCTGAGCCAGTTAATCAAAGTTTGGGTAGGCAGACAGCCCAGCGTCCTAACATGGATGGAAGTTGAAAATGCATCTAAACATCCTGTTCTTGTACAAAATCTTGACTCATAGTCTAAGTCTTTACTTTTATGTGTGACTAGCCAAGCTGAGAGATACACCATGAACTCTCGGAAAGAACTGGAATGAAGGCAAAATATTTTTTTTCTTGATTCATTAGAATGATTGCTTGAATTTTCTTTTTCACTCTGTGTATATTATAGCTACAGCCATAAAAGTTTTCAGACACTTTTTCAAACATTTTCCCAGCATGAATTTGATGGTAACCCCTGGTCACAAATTATAAAAAGCTCTTATTTTGGAACCAGTTTTTGTAGCGATTTTTGCACTGTTAAAAAGAAAACCATAGGCCCCAAATGGTGTCACTTAGTTGAGGCCCCACATCAGCACATGAGACTTCCTGTTAACTGCAGTTTCGGTGCTCCAGGGTCAACATGGGAATTCCCTGGTCAGCCCTAGGACACTAACTGATGGTCTCCTTCCGTTCCCCTTTCGAGGGCAACCTTCCTGAAACAATGGATTCTTTGCTCATGATTTCCTTTTTCCCACTCCCATTCTACTTTTAAAAACCTTTCCTTTCAGGGGCGCCTGGGTGGCTCAGTCGTTAAGCGTCTGCCTTCGGCTCAGGTCATGATCCCAGGGTCCTGGGATCGAGCCCCACATCGGGCTCCCTGCTCTGCGGGGAGCCTGCTTCTCCCTCTCCCACTCCCCCTGCTTGTGTTCCCTCTCTCGCTCTCTCTCTCTGTCAAATAAATAAATAAAATCTTTAAAAAAAAAAAAAACCTTTCCTTTTGTGAGCTCTTTGGGGCTCCCCTCTACTTGGTAGGTGGGATGGTGCCTGATGGGTGAATTGATTCATGAAGCCAATTAGATCTTTAAGATTTACCCAGTTGAATTCTTGTTACTTAACAGTACATTTGAGAAAATAACTAGAGACACTGACCAAATATATGATAGTTTATTTTTTTCACTTATGCCATTTGATGGATAATCGGTTTATCCAGTGTAAGTGGATCACAGGGGTATTGATTCATGCTTTTCCAGACTCTTGTGAAAATGACATATTGAAGAGCCACCTTATTCAGTGTGAAGGGGTATTACACCTGCTAAGGAGATCATATGTTCATAATAGTTACACCCTAAGTATGATGTTATCTAGAATATTGAAGTAAAAACCATGAGATGGAATCTAAAAAATTTTCACCTTTCTTCTGTTCATAATGCCTACTCTGCAAGCCGTAGCTTTTGTCATTGTCCACCGATGAACAGTAGGAACAGAGTGTAGAAGCAGGCAGACAGGCGTGTCCTCAAGGAAATGCACAGAACATTACAAATTTTTTTCTAAATCATTAGAAAAAACTTTGGTGGTGCCTGGGTGGCTCAGTCGTTAAGCATCTGCCTTCGGCTCAGGTCATGATCCCAGGGTCCTGGGATCGAGCCCCACATCGGGCTCCCTGCTCTGCGGGGAGCCTGCTTCTCCCTCTCCCACTCCCCCTGCTTGTGTTCCCTCTCTCGCTCTCTCTCTCTGTCAAATAAATAAATAAAATCTTTAAAAAAAAAACTTTGATGATGACATTTGGGAGGTGAGTCTTGAACTCCACTGTCCTGCATTTTTCTCCTAATCACTGTCCATGAAAATAGACTTTCATATCATCACAAGAACAATTTCAGAATAAAGTAAGTTTACTTAGTATCATGTCTCAGACTAAAAGAACCATCGTAACGCTCTGCTTCTCTGCCTTAACCTTTTCAGTATGCTGCGGTTTCGCCACCTGACATTTACCCTTCCCTCTTCTTCAGAACATGGACTATCCTGCGGAATAATTGGAAAAGGTCAAATTTTGTATTTTCTTATATTTCAAAAATTGTTAACATGTCATATTGGTGTTATGATTTGTTAATATGCAGAGGAATGTATATATACACATAGTCATCTATATAGTTTGTCATGGTATATAATAGATATCCATAAAATGCATACCCAATATATACATATATGGTCAAATACATTTTTCAAAGCATAGTTTTGATCCTAGAAAAAACATTATGTTTATAAATATTGATTTTGTTTTGTTTCTCCTTCCTTCCTTCCTTCGTTCCTTCGTTCGTTCATTCCTTCCTTCTTCAATGATTCCAACTTTTTCTAGTTGCTGTATGTTATTTTCAGCCTGGTAGTTCAGGGTACAAGATCTAAGCCAGAATATGTGGGCCTGAACGTCAGCTCTGACAGTTACCAGCTGTGTTCTTCCCTAAGTTTCTTAACCTTTCTGGGCCTTAGTACCAATTCTACAGATAAGAAAAAAGAAAACTAAGATTATCACCTGCATAGGGTTTTTGTAAG